ATGCTTTCTAACCGCTCTCACCCTGCAGGTACAGCACAAGCATCAGAGAAAAATGACACAGTGGCATGTGGTGAGTTCCCCAAACCCCAGCTGCTTCCAATCTCCCTGGGCCCCGACGGGGAGTTGGAAGGAAATAGACTCTGAAGGGACAAAGAAGTCAAAGGCAATCAAGTGGGGCCTGTGTATTGTTCTCCTCTGATTAAGAAGCCTGAGAAGGCCCCCTGCCCAGAGGAACCAACCTGAGGCTGTACCGGAGGCTGCCAGGAGAGGGCAGCCCAGAGCTCGGGCAAAAAAAAAAAAAGACAGCAAAACTATGATCCTTTTGACAAAAAGCAAACAATTTTAGCAGTTCAGTTTGCAACGAACCATTGTGCTCCTCTGGGGTTTAAAGGAGCAGCAACTGCCATGAGGTTTCACAGAGCACACTCCGGAGAACTTTATCGTCCTCGATGGAAGGAAACTTCACTCAGCTTACGGTATTTTTTACAGTGGAATCCACTCGGAGGAAAAATTGCTCTTTCAAAAAGTCAAAATAATAGGCACGTTCTTTGCAAAGATGAATGCGAGCTTGCTCTCTCTCGGTTCATGATTAGTTCTGGCATTTACCTAACCATATTTCAGAAAAAAAGGGGAGCGGGTGGTAGGGAAGAGGGAGGAAAGCAGGAGGGAAGAAAGAATACAGGACAGAGGAGAGAGCTTCTCTTAATTTTAGCCCACATCCATTTGCCACCCAAGGGAATTCATAAAATTTCTACACTTTGAAATCAATATCATGAAGCAAATACTAGAGCTAACTGCATACCAAATACACTTTATTTAAACTGTACTATGAATTTCATTGTAACTTAAAAAGAAAAAACACTGAAGGGTAGAATTAGAAAATCACTATTTCTGAAACAAAGAATGTGTTGGTCTTGGCAGCTGATACAGAAATCCCAGTGGCGCTCAGTACAGAGTGGAGCGGTCCTGTGCCTCAGACAGTCACCATGGAGACAGGGTGGGGACCCAGCAGCCCCAGCCTGGACTGAGCACCCCCACCCGGGGCCGAGGAGGAGGAGGAGGAGGAGGAGGAGGAGGTGGAGGAGGAGGTGCCACGTACGCTGGAGACCCCGCCCAGGCAGGGACCTACATGTGTGGACACAGGAGCCCACATCGCAGGGCCTTTCTGCTCACCATGACCCGCTTCCCAACGGGCCAGTGGCTGGCTGTGAATGAGGTTGGGCAGATGCGCTCAGGTTACGGAGCTGGCTGGTCCTTGTGCTGCCCTGCAGCACTGGCACAGTCTGAGGGAGGACCACGAACTCTATCCCGACTGCCCGCTATACAGCCCACGTCTGCAAACTGCTGCCACTGCAGAAGCCGGGTCTCCAACCCCACTGGCTCTGCAAACCTATGGTGCCCGCAGAGTTGGGACCCTTCAGTGGGGCCCTGGGATGGGAGCAGGGCAAGCGAGTTTCTGGCCACTGGCTTCCCTGCAGTTCTCCTGGCCAGGAGGCAGCAGTAGTCTGAATGCTGCATTGTTGCCAATGCATGGCATCTGGATCCCTCCTGACTGCAGGTGGCTTCTGTGCCCTGAATACTGTCCACACCCACATCACAGGAAGACGTGACATAAGTAGGGGCTCGCTGTGAACAAACTGGGGAAAAAGCAAATCGCACACATTCAGGCTGACCTGGAAGCCTTGCTGCTGGCCAGGTCTGGTCCACAGGGCAGGACAGCTTCACGCCCCGCAGGGCTTTTGCGAAGATTAAGTGAGATATCTATCGCATGTGAGGCTGGCTGGGACAACTAAGGTCACATCACAATTACAGTCTCACACCCCTTCACTCCAAGACGCGGTCCCAACACGTATTCCGAGGACACAAAGCCGGCACGGCCTGCCTGGCGCTGGGTATCCTGGGCCTCTGTACCCACGGCACAGGACCAGCTGCCACTTCAGGAGCCGCGCAGCGCGCCGTGTGGGGCACCACCAGGATGCACATCCCCTCAGGCCACGAGGTGCAGGGAGGAGAGGCGGCTGCGGGCAGGAGGTCAGGGCCTGCGGTGTAAATGGCACAGAGAATGACAGGGCTTGGCCCCGATGAGCCTCTATCCAGGGCGGTGATAGAAACGCCGAGAAGTCCTGGGCCGGGCAGCTTTCCCGAGGGACTCTCCCAAGGCTTGCCAGCTGAGCTCTGCTCTCTGTGGTGCCTGAGCTACAGCGACCGCTCCACTCCTCTCCTCTGGTGATGCCCAGACTTCCCCGCGCCCTGAGCAGACTGGGGGCGACCTGAGCCCCCAGGCCCTGAGCCACCACCCTGATGGTTTCCGCTCTGGCTGGGGACAGGGCAGGTCACCGTGCCCTGCGCAGCCTCCTGCCACCTGCTGTTAATTATTAACAGAGCAGAGAAAGGGAAACCAGCTCAGCAGCCACCCAGACCAAAGCGCGGCTTGGAGGATGCCCCACTTCAGCCCAGGAAAGCAGCCTAACAGGCCTCGGGGGTCAGGGCCACGAGTGCCTTACCCTAAAACACAGCCACGGCCAGGAGCTGCGCGGCTACATCCACACTCGCCAGGAGAAGTAGACAGGACGTGCATGCCACAAATCAGCCAAACCAACACCCTGGATTTCATACTCGGAGCCTCTGCTTCTCCAAAGGTCTGCAACGCATAGTATTTGTTACCCTATTGGGGAAAACTATTTTAAGCCTAATTAGCATGAAATTTTTAGAATGCAAATGCTTTTCATTTAGACATAAAACAAAATGCCACGACATTTCTTCCATCCATTTATCATAAACAAGTTAATTACTGCGTAACAAATCGCTCCTGCTGGAATCTGTATGTTGTGGGGCTGCTGGCGAGTTGACTCAGGCAAACAGAAGGGCCACAGAGTGGCCGTTAACGCATAGGCGTCCTCCCAGCGAGCCGGGGACTCGCGAGGCTCTGCTTGTCAAGTTAAGGCTAAGCTCTCTCTGTGGATTAACTCAATTAGAAGCAGTCATTATCTATTTAACTTGATTCCTACCAGAGTAACAGAAACACCGGGCTTCTCACTTGTCTTTAACACAGCCACCCTCGACATGTTCTTGAAGCGGCAGAGTTTTCCACACACACAGAGAAATGTTTGCGTGCCCTGGCTTGAGTGTTTTGCAGCTTTAGCTCTTGCCTCCATATGTGTAAAATTACTTCTAAGACAGAAAAACGTCCTTGCTCCATTCTGAGAGTGTGCGCCTCGGGAAGAGGGAGGGGAGAAAACAAGGACAGGATGGTTCAGGCTGGTGGGGGAGACAGCATGATTTCAGCCCACCCAGCAGACAGGTGGAGAGGACCTGGCTCCCAGACGCTGGGGAGACCCCCAGAGTCTTGCCCTGGGGGAGCCTGGCCAGGTGCAGCCCCACCTCAGGGTGATGCGGCTCTGTCCTCACCACATGACTGCCATGCGGCCCAGCGGCCAGGCCAGCTCCCCACCACACCCGCTAAGAGCCAAGCACACGGCCTGGGTGGGGCCCAGGTGGCTCTCTGCAGTCTCACACCATCTCAGGTAGCATGAGGAGCTGCCGTTCTCCCGATCTCAGAGACATTTTCCCTTCAGGCCCCGAGTGCCAGAAAGGCTCCAAGGTCTGGTCGAAGTTAGTGTCGGGCTCCCAGAGGCCTCGGGGGCAGTTTCAGTACCACAGCTCAGGACCCAGAGAGCAGGGCTGAATCACACTGTCCAGGGACCGGGGCCAGCCACACAGGAGTTGACAGGCAGCCCAGTCTGCTCCACAGGACCTCAGGGCTGCCAGTAAACCAAAGCTCCAGTGACTGACCGCCTGCCTCATCCTCTCCAAAATGACCATGCACAAAAGGAATGGAGCAGTGCTCAAAGGAGCTTCCTCAAGCACACCTGCTGAGTCAGTGCATCAGGAACTGCCTGGAAATTTTTTGCTTTTTCATAATCATCAAGAGTTGACGGCATCATAACTCAGAAAACAAAACTAAAAAAGTAAGAAAAGTTGGATTCGGTACAAAATAAAAATGCTAATTCACATAACAAGGAACAAACAAAATCAACAAGTCCCATCTGGAAGGGTGAGAATCTAGAAAGTCACCCACCGTGTGTGAGAGCTTACACACATGTGTGTGCATGCACACACACACACACACACACACACACACACACACACACAGAGGAAGTGCTGTCAGCCTTAGAGGGAGAAGTCTCAATTTCCTAGAACACAAAGCTGGGGACAGAGTCAACAGCCTGAGGACAACTTAAGTGAGGAAAATCCAGCTCTGACACTTCATCGAAAATTGGCGACCCCGTTCCGTTCCTGTGCACTCAGCTCAGAGGCTGCCCCTTTGAGGAAACTGAGGCAATGCGGGAAGGGCTCAAGGTGGGACTCTGAAACCCTGGGGAAGCAAGAACTCATTTATTTCTGCTATGCAAATACTGAGTTTAATTAGTTTGTCTTGAAAGGGAAACAGATCGATGTGCAGGGTGATCTACTGTGTGAGCTCTGCAGCTGCCTCCGACTCGCCCGTCAGGACGTGGACAGGATCCTGCAAGCACCACGAAGCTAATTGGTAGTTCCCTCCTGCATGTGTGTTTTCATGTTGTCAGTGGGGCAGTAATGAAAATGAATGCCACATTTGTGAACAGAACGTCTGTGGGCTTATTTACTGCATTTCCAACAACATCGTCTGCTTTATCATGCATTTCAAAGCAGGGATAATTTAAGAATCCAGAATTTCATACATAAAAATACTTGGTAAGAAAGTCTCTCTCTGCACATTATTTGGGTGACGTTACTTCCGAATTCCAATTTGTTGCCCAGGAAATGATTCACCTTTCTCAAAAATGACAGGGATTCTGAATCATTCACCTTGATGCCAAATGTCTCTCAGGTCCACCAAGCTGAACCTCACTGACCTCATGGCCATCACCTTACGGAGAGCCCGCCTGGCCCTGCCTGTCCCAGGCCTCCCCAAGGGATAGTGCACATCAACCCCTCCCTGCTCTTCAAGCCTGCCCTACCTTTGAGGAGCTTCTCTCCCTGCAGAATATTGGGGGAGATTAACGCTGTGTAGTCCTCCTCCGAGAAGCCAGCCTTGCAGGTCTCTCTGGCTGTAAGATCCTCATTATGGGCCTGAGAGCAGAAAGGAGAGAGGTAAAAGAAAAATAAATTCACAAAAATGTAATCCACCCAACCTGCACAGGGGCCTGCTGTTTGCAGGTCTCCAGCAGAGAGAAACGAGGATTAAACCACCGTCTCCACCCAGAGGTGACATCCCGATGCTCTGGCCTCTGGGGATCCTGGTGGCACGGGGAGACTCTCCTGGCACTGGACAGAGCCACGCTGCAGGGCGTGACAGGCCCCTGTCACCTGGCACTGGCACTGGGCAGGGGAAGCAGGGGAAGCAGGGGAGCTGTCCAAAAGGCAGCAGCAGAAGGCTTCGGGTGAGTCCATGAAGCCCGGGGAGGCGGAGCCCAACCCAGTCCAGCTCTGTTCAGAGCCTTCTCTCTTGGTCGCCAGGGCTCTGGGTTTAGGGGAGGTGTTGGAGGCAGGCTGCTCTTGCCCTGCTGTAGGCTGCGTGGTGATGCAGAAGGAAAAGAGAGAAAGAAAGGGGCTTTTCCAGGACTGCTTCAGAGCCGAAGAAGCCAGCTCTGCTGGGCTGCAAGGAGGCAGGTGGCAGGGCTGGCTTCCACCCTCCAGTCCTCCCCTGCCCTCCTCCAGACACTTGTTCCTCCTTCCAGCCCATCTCCAATCCCACTGGGAAGGGCGTGAAGCTTTCTGTCCTGTCCGGGCAGCTCCCTCCTCTGGAAGTCTACAGCCCAAGTGAGACAGGGTGGGCGGCAGGACCTCCCGCCCAGGCTGCAGGGAGCAGGAGAGTCAGCCCTGCTACAGAAGAGGGAGCACAGCGGTGCCGCGCTCCCAGGCGAGAGCGGAGCCCCGGGCGCAGCCGCACCCGCAGTCGTGCTTCCTCCGGCGCCAGAGCAGAACGCGCCGCCCGCCCGCCGCCTGCCGCCCGCCTCCTCCAGCGCGGCGCGCACAGCCAGCCCGCAGCTCCGGCCCAGACACCGCCGGGGTGTGGGAGCTCCACCGGGAGCCAGGGGCAGGCAGGGCGTGGGGTCTTTCCTGGGGAAGAGCTCCAAGCCTCGGCTCGGTTCCTCGGAACAAAGCTTCAGACAGCACTCACAGCCCGAGGGAGGTGGAAGTCGTCCCGGAAAGTTTCAGTCCGCCCGGGCGTGTGCCCAGCGCGGCCTCTCGCGCCCCACGGCCTCGGAGCGGGTCTCTGGCCACCGGCACTTGTTTATTTCCGAGGTTACGACTGCGAGGCCCCGAGGAGGCAGCGAGGCCGATCGGCCACGAGAGGGGGTTCCTGCAACTCCCGCGGCCCTTCCGCCTTCGCCCAGGGCGCCCGGGCAGCCGCGCTCGCCGCCTGCGGGTCCTGCACAGGCAGGCAGAGCGCCCAGGGCTCCGCGGGAGGGAGGCGGGCGCAGGCTCGCTCTCCCGGCCAGGCCTGCCCTGCGCCGCCGGGGCCAGGCTCCCCGCTCTTCTCCAGGTCGCCCGGGCCCCGGACTCGGGCTCCGGCTCGCTCCGAGCACCGGGCGCTGAGGTGCCCAGCGGGACCCCTCCGCCGCCCACCCCGCGCAAGTGCCGCCCGTACGCGCAGGACGGAGGCGGCGCGGGCGGTGGACCCCCGCCCCGGGCCGTGGGACCAGACGAGGCGCTCTCGCCCGGTCCGGCCCGGCCCCCAGGGTCCGCACGCCCGCAGCCCTGGCCCGCAGCGCGCTCGCCAACTCCGGAGCGCGCGGCTCCAGGCGATGGAGGGCGCGCCGGCTCCACCAGTGGGCAGCGGCCCCGGCTCGGCTCGGCTTGGCTCGGCGGCCGGAGGGTGCTCGGCGGCCCCGCGCGGGCGGAGCTCCCGGGCTGCTCGCCGCCGCTCCCGCTCCCAGCCCGGCTCCTGCCGACGCGGGCGGCTTCGAGGAGCGCGGGCGCCGGCTGGACGCAGCGGGCGGCGGCGAGGGCGCCGGAGGAGCCGAGAGAGCCGCCGGCCGCGGGAGGCGAGAACTTACCCGGAGCGCGCCGCAGAGCGAGAGCAGCGCGAGGAGCAGCCCAGAGCTCGCCGTCATCTTCCCGCCGGGCGCCCGCAGCCCGGAGCCCGGCTCCCGCAGCCCGCTCCCCGCCGCCGCCGCCGCCGCCCGCTCCGGGAGCCAGGCCGAGTCCGGCCGGCGGCGCGCTCCTCGGGCCGGGCCGTGCGTCCTCCGGCCTCGCAGCCGCCCGCGCCTCTCTAACGCGCGCGGCAACTGCAGGTGAAGCCGCGCGGCCCCCGCCGAGGCCCCGCCCCGCGGCCCGCGCTGCTCCGCTCGACGCGGGCCTTAAAGGCGCCGCGCCTGCGCCCCCCACTCCTGCAGCCTGGCTGCTGCCCACTGGCGCTCGCCCCGCAGGACGCCTGGGGCCCTTTCGGGCGGAGGCCCAGACCACTTCCTCTGTGGAGGCCAAAGGAGAGGAGGGTACGAACCGAAGAAGATCCCGAGGTCCTTGTCCCAAGCCCGGCATCCCTTTGCATGGAGCGCCTGGCCGCCCAGTGGCCTGAGTCCAACTCCGTTCCAGGGCCCAGAATGGGAGCGGGCGCTTCACTCTGTCCTCTGTGTCCCAGGTGTCTTCTTACTAAATGGCCCACCAGGCCTAGCCGGTGAAGCCCACTGAGGCAGCTTTCGAGCCATGGCCTCCACCCTGAGAGAGCAGCAGAGGACAGGGAAGAGGGGACCGAGCAGTGCTCCTGCCTGCCCGGGCTCGCCCTGGGCCCCAGGATCTGCACGGGGCTGATCCCTGTCCGTGCATCAGAAGGCACTGTTAGGCCCCAGAAGCCAAGAAAGAGGTCAGAGCCCCCAAGACAAGAAGAAACTCCGGACAGGAGGGCTGTGGGGAACACTGGCTCCCAGGGCCAGGCTGGCTCCATTTGCTCTGCTTGGGAGATTTCCAAACGGTGGGACGCTTCCTCAAGGGATCCTCAAGTGACAAATATGCATAGCTCGGAAAGTGAGTAAAGGTTTCTGCATGTTTCCTTTAGCTCGGAGATTTAAAGAAGAGTGGTTGTTTGCTCAGATATTTCAGATTTTCTTTGTCTTGGTTTGGAGGAGCTCGGTATCCAGAATACATTAGTTCCGGTTTCAGAAATGCCAGGAGGGAGAAGAGCAGTGGAGCTGAGCTCCCAGGGTCAGAGTTCACTGGGGCAGGAGAGCAGGGGCACAGGCAGGGGGCCCCTCCCTCCGCCTTGCCTCCTGGCCCTGGCCTTGGGGGAGGTGGCTTGCAGGCTCCCCCTGAGCTACACTTATGGAGGTCAGGTTTGAAACAACCCTGTGCAGAGTGCGCTCTTAGACCAAGGACACAGGCTAGGTCTGTTTTCCCCACCATAGACTCAGAAACGGGACACGAGGTCTTGTCACCCCTCCCTCCCGGGTCTCGTCCTGTTCCCTGCCTGCGGGGAGAAGAGGCTGCCGGTTCTCCTGGTTGATTGTGCCAGGCTTCTCATTGTGTCCAGACTGGCTCACAGGTCCCTGGTAGCCAGTGTGGTTGGTGAACAAGCCCAGCCAGAATCCACACTGGAGGATTCTGTGCCTCAGTCCTGAGCCCGCACCTTTGAGAGATGCACTTCGTCTTGCGCCCTTCGCAGCTGCTTCATCCCTGCCTGGTGGGATCAGAGACTGCCTCGAAATGAAACACCCACCACTAGTGCCACACCTGCGTGCTCAGGAGGCCTGAGCATGATGCAGAGCTTTCCTCACAGGGCCCAGCTTTTGCTGTGTTCCCGGAGGCTGCTTGGGGCGGATGAGCTTTCGAGTTTGGGGAGAAAAATGTGTTTGCAAAGCAGATGGGTCCTCAGTTCCAAACGCTGGGTTCAGTGCATTTCCTAGTTGCCTACAACCACCTGTCTGAGAGTCTTGACCCTACTAAAATGCACTGTGACTCCAGGGAGAGGATATCCTGACAATAACCAGCTCTTACCAGGCACTGTGTGCCAGGCCTGGCTGCAGGAGCGTTGTGTAAATGAACCTGGACTCCTCCTGGCTCCAGGGGGTGGATTTCTTAACATCCCCATTATACAGTCAGACACGGGGCCAGGGGGTGCTGCACATCCGAATTCTAACCCAGTCCCCATCTGGGGCAGGCAGTGTTCCCCAGACTATCCATTCAAGGCAACCTGCTTAGCAGCATCTAACACGGAATAGAGCCTGCATTCTTAGGAAGTGTCGGAAGCGTTGCAGTAACCCATGCGAGTCCAGCAGAGAGCATTGGTTTGTCAGACTTCGTCTGCATGAAGCAGTGAAGGCGCCTGGAAAGGGGGAAATCCGATCTGATGGAAGATACAAAGCAAGGCTTCTCCAAGGATGGAGTCTGCCTGCCACTTAAAGTGTGGTCCCTGGGCCAGCAAAGCCCACAGCTGCAGGAGCGTGTTAAAATGCAGAACCACCCCACTGTAGGGCACCTGCACATTTGCCAGTTTCCTCTGCCACGCCCACTGCTGATGTCCCCACTAAGGAGTAGACTGGCTCATGAAAAATGCAGATCCGCCACTCCTCTGAGACTGTCGGACTTGGAGCCTGGAGGGATGGGACCTGGGGCCCAGATGCTCAGCACCCTCCCCAGCTGATACCCATTCACGGTGGTGTTTGGGACACACACACACACATTTCTTCCTAGGGAACTTGCAGTGCCTGGAGCCTCAAAAATACCGCTTCCTGGGCTCAGCCCTGGGTCTGTGGCATTCGGACCTCCCAGAGGGCGGGGGGCAGAGTCAGCCCTGAGGGAAGAGTCGGAGAAGCACTGGCATAGTCACTGATGAAGGAAGCTCTGGCCCGTCACCTCTGCCAGCATGGGAGGACACAGCAGCCGGAGGGTGGGAACCCTGGCACCTGGATAAAGGGCCCTAGAGAGAAGTGTGCTTTTGTTTCTAAGAGAGATTAAGAGAACGCATTTGGGAGGGTGGCTGTGTGTGACTGTTTCCTCTCAGCACCTGTAAACTGTTGACTGTAATTGGACTACAGATGTTTGCTAAGCTTGACAGACTTCTCCTCTCTGTCTCCCACTTGTTGAGGTGTCTGGGAAGGGGCGCATCTTCAGAAGCAAATCAAATGCTTATATCAAGCCTGCATTCCCCACTGTTGAGCCCCTCTTATTTTTTAGACACTTCACTGATAGACAAAAGGCTGTTCTGTAAAGAAAGCAGGGGAGTGTTAGCAAAAGGTGTGCTTGTAGAATAACATAAGGTCTTTGGGGAAAGTTGAAGATGTTTGAGACACTGTGGAAATGAATGAAAACAGCTCAGGAAAACCTCCCTGCATGAACCGAAAAAAAACAGGCTTAAAGGAAAAAGCAAGAGAGAGATTGAGAGAGGAGGAGGGAGGGAGGAAAGGGAGAGAGAGAGAGGGAGAGAGAGGAGCATGCCTAGAGCTCTGCCTTCAGTTCCCTAGTAACTCTCACCTGCCCAAGCTAGGTCACAGGGAATAAAGGAGAGAAGCACTGTTACCATTAAATCTGCGATTTCACCAACGCCATCTTTCTCCTTCAGCGCTGACTGAAATTCATGGCGAGCCCTACTCGGTCAAAGGCTGTGGGCCTTTATCTCCTGTAACCTTCACACAGGAAGGAGGCGGCCCTTGTTCCGGAGGCAGGAAGCATGTGGACAGTGGACATGCAGGTAGCCTGTCCATGCCTCAGGCCGGAGTGTGGCCACCCAGGCAGTGGCTTCACCTGCAGCAGCCCGGCGTGACTGCCGGGGAAGATGCAAGGTCTGCCCGCCCCCCGCTGACCCCACTTTTCCCTTCCTTTTTGCAGCCTCTTGGTCAGCCCTGGCCTGGCCGGCTGCACAGGCTCTGGGCCTCTGCCCTGAGGTTCCTCTTGTCTGGTCACTGTCAGCCGTCCAGAGACAAGGCCCCTTCCATCCTGCACTGTCCTTTCTCCGGGGCAGAGAATCCTCTTGGGCTGCCCAGGCTTCACACCCACCTCGCTCTCCATGCACTGAAGGTCCTCTCTGGCATCTGGCACCTGTCCCCTTTGCCTGGCTGCAGGCGAGGGCTGCAGCGTGCTCACCCTCCGTGGGGCCCAGATCCGATGCTGTGGGGCAGACAGAGAACAGGAGGGCGACAGTGAGGACCTGGCAACCCTGACTGGGCAGCTATCAAAGCTACCAGGTCTGCAGGAGCAGGCGGGTGCATCCCAGAACACAGGCAGGGTTTTCATCTGTTCTGTTCCTGGCTTTGTTCACTTATTTCCCTTATGCTGTTAGCAAAGCGGGGCTGCACCAGGGGCGGGTCAGAGAGATGCATGTCACAGGGATGCCAGCCACAACACTCCTGTGACCCTGAGTCCCGTCTGCCTTGTCACTTGCTCGAAGCAGCGCAACGCAGCACAAAAGGGGCCAGGACAGGGTCACCAGCCTGGGACCTCGTGTGACTCACCGCACACCTGGTTGTCACAGCCCTCGTCAGCCACGGGAGCTCCCAGGACTGCTTCACCTGGTGCAGCCGTGCCTCTCTTAATTCCCCTCCTGCTGCCAGTACCTTCAGGGTGGGCCTGAGAATTGACTTTTTATTTTATTTGTCATTTTTTTCCTCCTTTATGTTGACTCTCCCCCAGAGCATTCCACAATTCTGTCATTTCTGCCCGGATGGTAATCTGAACCCCGTGAGCTCCATCTCCGGCCTGCACGCTGCAGCTGCCCCTTCTCACAGCGCTCTGCCAACCAGGCCCAGGGGACCCACTGCAATCCGAGTCTGAGATGGGCAAATAGCGCTTCCAGCCCTACGTCCCTGAGTGGCCCCCTTAGGCCCTCAAGGGTCACTGCACGGCCCAGACCCCGTGCCATCTGGCCTCTGCCTGCACCCTCATGCCTTCTCCAGTGGTCCCTCACTGTCCCTGCTCCCACCAGCAACCCTCCTGCTCCTCCAGAGATAGGTCCTGCACCTGGGTCTGTGAACTGACTTGCTGGCCAGGACCCCCTGGCTGACTGCAGCTCAGCGTGCAGGTCTCTCTCTGAGAGGTGTCAGACCCGGGCAGGCCTGCCACCCATTTCCCACATGGCCACACTGCCTGCCCATCGCTCTGGTCTTCAGCTTCTCAAATGTCCCCAAGAGAGGCATGGTGTCCCAGGACCCAGGATGGTTGCATGCTGTGGGTCCCATGTCCACGT